GTAATAATCGGAGTAAATCTTAAAAATAGTAGTGCTAGCAACAAGAAGAATAACAACACAAAAGCCTAAACCCAAATCCTTAAACCCTAAACCCCAAACCTTAAACCCTAAACCCTCACTGAAGGTCAGCCCGCAGATTTCTCACCTTGTCTGGAAAGCAGATACCTACTACCCTTCAGCTCGCAACAAGCTTGCAACGGAACTCTGAAGATGACTTTGCCAAAGAACAGCAGGCTAGGGCTTAGGGTTTGGCGTTTAGGCTTTGGGGCTTCGGGTTTAGGGTTTAGGGATGACCTTGTTAAAGAACAGCAGGCTGCGGGAGCTCTGTAAGAAGCCCTACCTCTACTCTGGGCCACAGAAAACGCATGTGGTGGTGGCGAAGCCCACTGTACGCAACTTGAAGAGGCAGACAACAGAAGGCCGGACCAAGCTACTGGGCTATCCCAGCCCCGATGAGATTGCAAAGGAGTTGGGAATGAACCAGGATTTGAAGTATGAGTGGCTCCACCTCAACGCATTTGCTTACAGACCGCTTCCTGAAACGGAGGACACTGCTGGTTCACCTCAGGAGGCAATGAACCTTGTGCTCGGCACCTATCATAGCAACACCATGATGATGATCGATGAGGAAGCTGTAAAAGCATTGGTCCAAGAAGCAGCTTCAAGCCATCATCGGGATCGGATTGAGGCGGGGCGTCTGAAGACCATAAAACCTGAACCCTACTATTAGGGCTTAGGGTTTAGGACACCCTAAACCGAAACCCTAAAGCCAACAGCTTCAGGTCCTTATTGTCAGGTTCTTGTGAATTAGTATAGATGCATGTGGTGCTTGCAGACTGAGACCCTAAACCCGAGACCTGAGTTTTTCCGAGCGCGCCGAGATAAACGCTCGCTTGCGTTCAAGGTCTGGGGTTTGGGATTAAGGGTTTGGGCTTGAGGGTTTCGGATTTTGAGGGTTGAAGGTCTAGGGATCCAGGGTTGAGGGGTTTCGGGTTTAGGGGTTTAGAGGTTTAGGGGCTTTGGGGCTCTTTACCATTGGATTCTTCTCTGGGCTCTATAGCCACCTTAAACTCGAAACCCTAGATCCTTTAATCCTAATCCCTAAAAGCCCTGAACTCCAAACTCCAATCCTTAAACCCTAATCCCCAAACCTAACTCCGGAACCCTAAAACCCCTCAACTAAACCCCAATCCCTAAGCCTTATAATCCCCAATCCCTAATGCCTAAACCCCATAATCCCTAAACCCTATAAACCCTCACCCCCTAAACCCCATATACCCCTCATGGACCTAGGTGGAGGTGGAGGTAGTGGCTGAGCATGAGCGCATAGACTCCGCCGATGAGGATTATGTTTACTTTCTGGCCAAGAAGATCGGCTACAAGGTGGCGATGGGTTTAGGGTTTAGGGTTTAGGGTTTAGGGTCAGGGTAGCGGGTACACAGGGGTTATATTCGGGATATTGTGGGAAATTGGCAGAATGAAAAAGAACATGGAAACTACATGAAACCACTATTTAGTGTCTAGTGCGTGGGGTTTAGGATTTAGATTTTTGGGTTTAGGGGTTTACAAGGTGGCTATGGTAGGTCAACTTATGGCACCAACTAGGGGATAGCTTTCAGGGTTTAGGGTTCCCTACGCTTTAGGTTTTGCGGTTTTGGGGTTGGGGGTTAAGGGTTTAGGGTGGCTATGGGTCAACGTCAGGGTCCCCGTGTATTCAATTCAAAGGATAGAGATCTTCAAAACGCAAGAAGAGAATCCCAAGAAGGATCCCAAGAGTAAACCCTAAACCATCACAGGTTTCGGTCCTCCATGGGAACCGGCGATGGTGCTTGCCAAAGCTATCTTATTCGCCATATGTGGAGGCTCCACCTTCGCGAGCGCAACTGTATCTTGAGATGGGCCTGATGCGGCAAGCAGTGTTGAGCACTGTTGGGCTTGAGATTGGGTTGCCGTTAAGGAACATAAGTTACCCAGAGAGCCCAATACCCCTTAATTAAGGAATATACCCTAAATGGTACTAGAATCCCTAATATGATTTAAGCTATATTCCTTAATTAGGGGGTATTGCTCCATGGGCAGGTTACTATGAGGCGGAACCCCAATAACACGTTGATATCTACCCATAATATGGTTGCTGAACTTAAATCCATTGACGGCAACTCAGGGATTAGAGGGTTTAGGCTTAGGGATTAAGTTGCTATGATGCTAAAACCCAATTATTTACTATCTACCCAGAACATGGTAACTTAACTTAAGTTCCTAACAGCAACCCATATTGGTTACTATATACCCATATTATGGTTAATGAACTTAAGTTCCTTACCAGCAACCCAGGATAATCTGAAGTTTCACACTGCTCAAGCCGCACTGGTGGAGACCAGGAACACAACTGGCGATTCTGGGTTGCTGTTAAGGAACTTAGTTTCAGTTACTATATGAGCTATAGTCTAAACTCCTTAAAGGGGGTTACATCGGGGATTATATAGGGGACTACTATAGGGCCGGAGTTTGGGCTATAGCTCATATTAATTACTATATATGTATATGTATACACATAGCCATTAAACCCCAAACCCTACCCCCTAAGCCCTTAACCCTTAAGTTCAACCCAGGATTTGCAAGTGGAGTATGACATGCTTGGTGGCAACTTGCTCAGTCAGAGGGAGACCGCAGGACCTGTTGAAGTCGTGAATTTCTATCCGAGCAACTGGGTTGCTGTTAAGGAATTTAAATCAATTTACCATAATGGGTGTGTGTATATGTATACAGGAATTAACATGGTTTCCCCAATATAGGAACTTAAATCAAGTTAAATGGTGCGGAAACCCTATTGTTCACCATATACCCATGATAAAGTCAACTTAAGTTCCTCAACCGCAAGGCAATCTCAACTCCGAGCCGAAGTATGCCCGAAAATTTCACCATTTCTCAGCTCATCGAGGAAAGAGCAAGTCTTCGTGTGTTCGGCCAAGCGCTGTTGGCAACTGCCTTCATAAATGGGTCGTCTGTTCTTCGCATCCTGTTACCCTTGGATTCCAAGAAGGGTCCATTGGCGCCACTCGTCTCCTTCCTGCACGAAGCTGGGTTGCTGTTAAGG